AATATCTTCCTCGGCAATCTCCTACTCAACTGCTCGAGCATTGGTCTTCTCAAGCACACCCGTCTGCTCCCTGAGATGAGGTACCAGCAACCCAGCCACTACTAGGCAGGAGGGAGGTGGACGCTATATGGCCATGGCCACACTACTGAACTTGACGATGTGGTCCAAGAACGACGGCCACATAACAAGAGTCGTCATTCCAGGGCTCACCACCTTCAACCTAGTCATGCTCGATGCTTGCCCAAGCCCGTAGTGATCAGCCAACAATACCAACTGGTGAGTGTCATTGAATGCATGGACACCAGGGACTAACTCAACACATCGACTTTACCCTAGTAAATGTATCAACTCGTGTCACCACTGCAACAATGCTCAACTTCCTCGACCCACCCTTATCCGGCTGCATCGTCGAGGGAAAAGTAAAAACTCATAAGGGGAGCAAATTGTTCAGTTGTAGAGCTTGACCATGTGCTGGTCTAACACTGAAAACTCGTCTAGTCGTCTGTCGAGATGTGATGGAGTCACTGTAGCATTAGCTTCGGCTATTCTCTTTAGCGCGCGCCCGACAACTTTTGGTGGGTCTAGACCTGACCAATAGCATTCCATACATCTGCTGCCTATCACGCTGGCTTACCAAAGGCCTTTGCTCGATCAAATCTGGCCTGTCTCGAGATGCCGCAACAGGGACCGTACCTACAATGGCCAACAGCTGGTGGACGATGGTCCATGGAGGGAGCCTCACTTCAGATCGAGATCGAACTTGCGTAGTATGAGCTCCTCGACAACCTTACAGTCCGAGTCACTACTCCACGATAGCACGTTAGTATCCTGAGGTTGACCGTAGACGATACGGAATAGGTCAGGTTCAGACCATACCACGCATGTGAGACGTTCATCACTGCCTGCCGAAACTTCAGCATCAGTCTCCTCTTCCTCCTTTTTCCCCTTCCCAACACCACCATCTCCGTCTTTGTCAAAGTCGAGCCTCCTAGCCAACGAACTAGAGACCTCTCGAGTGATTGGATGGGGATTGGGACGC